CTATTGACTTCTATAATTTCGGCCGAAAAAACTAAACTCGTCAGAACAAATATTTTCTCGCATTCGTTCATTTCACCGGTGCTCAGAATCTCCAGTCGTCTTCTCCGGGAAGGGGTGCGACCAGCCTTGGCGTCTTGTGGCCATCATCGACCTTCAGCCCGTCCTTGGAACAGCAGCCCCGTCGCCGGTCATCATACTGGAAACATCAACCCTGCCATCTCCGGCCAACACCCATCGTCTGAGTTTCACAACAGTAAGATAATCTCCGATAGATCGTCATCCTCGCGAGATCTGGTCCGTCCCCAGCCCCACTCAATCTTTTTCTCTGCTCAATTAACAAACGACCTCGTATAGCCGCAACCCGTCCCACGTGCGGCCATAAATGACTCATGTTTCCACAGCCGCACGCAACCACCAAGACCGGCCAGACACGACTAAAAAAAAAATCCGGCCATCGTGCATCCAACGCGACCAATAGCTTCTCGCCGGAAAGCCCTCGCGATGTTCGGTCATCTTCCTCGCGATGGCAGGCCCCAGTGAAGCCCGAGAGTTCATCACCAGCCACAGACAAACACCCTCTCCATGATTAATGTCAACATTTTTCGCTCAAGATTTCTATTTTTTTTCACCTGCGTATGAGCGAGAAAAAAGAGAAAGATTCCGCCCAATATTTTTATTTTTTTTCACCTGCGTATGAAAAAGAAGAAAGAGAATAATTGGACTTATTCAAATTATATCTTACCTAATTATCCTCCACTAACTAAAACCCATTATTTATTCTCTTAAAATATTTTATACATTGACTTTTTTAAAATTTAAATAATCGTCTAAGGCGGGATAATCCAAAAAATTTCAAAAAATCATTCCTTTAATGGTAAAAAACGAAAAACAGAAGCGGAAAAATAACATAAAAAAGCGGGAAAATGAAAGTATTTTTTTTCGAGTTTTTCAAATAATTTATCTTAGCCGTATTATATAATAATAGATTTTATAGTATGCACTTCCTAATGTATTTTACATTATCAAACATTGTATAAAAAGTCGAACAAGGCACCCATTTAGGCGGAGCCTAGTCGCTGCATGGCACTCGGATGCCTCGATTTTCGTCTAGGTGACGGGTGACCTTACTAGGCATTTGGGCAATTAGGTGCCACTTATGTTATGCGGTCCAGTCGGTTGTGACTTTAGTAGCGTTGAGCACGAGATTTAGAGATTATGCAATCGTTCCGAAAATCAAATCGAATTCATCCAAATCCAAAAATTATTTATTGACCATTTGAATATCTCTTAACCGAACCGTACTGATATTTTTTTTTTACGGTTATGAAGATTTATAAAATATTCATATCGGAAACCAAACTGAATAGTACCTAATCAAAAATAAATGTACCAAACCAATGAATCAGAACAAATAACCAGTTGTAAAGCATTCACACAAATATATGTGTACATTTTATCTTATACCATCTTTTGTACATAATAATTTTAACATATGCATAAATTTTAACAATGTATGACAATAATGAAGTTGAAGTTTCATAAAAATCTCATATTTGATAATACTATTCTTTTTATTTATAAACGCATACAATATTTTGTCTTTCTCTTGTACAAAAATATTTTAACAATTGCATAACTTTATTAACTAGCAAAGTGCACGTGCATCCAACGTGGTGGTGAATGTTTTTGCCGATTAATAATTTAATTATGTTAGATGATTAAAGAGTGATTTTCTTTTATTTTAGTTTTGACGTTTTCATAAGAAACATTCATACTTGTTGGAGCCCAGTACATCAATAGTATTGCAAAATACTTCTTAATTCATTTGGCAAAACGTGTATTTTATTCAAACACATAACTTTTCTGGCCAAACATACAGTCAAACTTCATGATAGTATGATCTTTATAGAGTATTTCTACCAACAGTTCATGAATATCTTTGTAAAATAACCAACTGTATCATTAAATTGTTGATATTTTTTTATCATTGTATAAACTACTTCATTACTATGTCCATATAGACAAATTTGTACCTACCCCATGGAGACATTGTCCCACGAGGTGGGAATGTATTTCATCACCAAATAAAGTTGATTTACCAAAATCTTGGTTACATGTACTTCTCTCGAGACGCTAAATTACTTTTCGAAATCATCACATTACATGAAAGTACGTACTATAAAGTAATTGCACATATGTTTCAGCAAAATACATAATGAGATTGTAAATATTCCTATAAACAAGGGGACAATTTCATTCAAACATTCAAGAATGCTTTGATCATGTTGCGACATTTTTTTTTTCAATGTTATTTATTCGGAAGACAAATGAATTATATAATCTATTGTTTGCAAAACATTGACCATCTTGGTTGTCGCAATGATTTTAGCGTGGTTTAACATATTATTTTTCACATTCGTTCGAATTTGCAGTACTTATGTGCCTAATATTTTTTTTAGTGCTTTTATTGTCCAACTTTTTTGCATCATACATAATGTTTCGAAAAATCAAGATGAAGATCCTTTCTTGGACAAAAAAAAAAGACAAAAATAATGAGACAATATTAAGAAGTATATCATTTGTTAAAATATTTGAAAAGAGAAGAATTATAATTTTATTATATTATGATACTCTTAGTCGCTCTGCGAACTTTATTGTCACGAAGTTATTATTAAAATTTATGTTACGTATTATAGAGTTTTTATTTTTCTAATTATTTAAAAATTCTTTATAACGTAACATCATTATTTATGAGAACTAATTTCTTACTGACGCTAGCAAAAAAAAATTGCTATTTTAATAGACTTTTGTTTCTAGATATATATTGGTGTCATATTTCTCTAAGAAAATTCAAATTTTTTCTTTTCCCATTGAATTGCTATCGTTTTATTTATTTCTTATTCTATTCACAAATAATATTTATTTGTTAAAAAATTTAGAACACATTTATATGTATCGCGTCATTTTTTTTACGTACTTTATATAATGACGTTATAATCAAAATATCTTATTTATTGGGCTACAACTAATATAATCAAATACGATAGATACTATTTAATATCACTTATTTATCTATTTAAAATAATAATATATTCCAAAAAATGTACTTTTATACTGGTTATAAAAATAAAAATTTTAGGATTTTTTTCATTGTTTGATAAATAATTAAGTAATTAACTAATATTCGTATACATTGAAAATTTATGTTATATGTTATAACCATTATGGTGTTCCTTTCATGTAGTAATTGAATAAATGTTTAAAATACAACTCATTTTATTTCTCCTTTTAATTGACATAGTTAATGTTGTTAATAGTTATAAGTTTACATCCATTTTATACGTTTTTCTTATTTGTATGAATATTTCAAATCTATGTGCACAATATAGCACAAGTTTATCTTATGTTTTTTCACACTTAATAA